GACCAAACTTTCTTTCGTCAATCATACTCTTAGGGAGTGTTTGGTTCAAGGATTATGGGATTTTCATAAGATGAGAATCCCACATTCCATGTTTAGTTGACCGAAAATCTCATTCCCGGTAATGTTTTATTACCAATAGTAGATTTTTTGAGGTATATTACCGGGAATGTCATTACCTCCATTCCCTTAGGTATTGTAACATTACCGATGTTTTGGACTAAAATGCCCTTAATTTTTTATTTTTTTTCCAAAAATATCATTCTTCTGTTATTGAATAATAAAAATTCTACGAATGTTAAATTACAAATTTATCCTTAAATTATTTTAGATTTACAAAAAAAAATCTATAATTAAAATTTTATATGAGGTTTAAGGGTTAAAAAAAGTTACTCTTTCATTAAATCTTTTTATATTTTTAATTTTGTAAAAAAATTATATAAATATTATGAATTTAATTTTTTAAAGAAAATATATAAATATTTTAAAGAAAATATAGAAATATTTTACAATTTGTAGTATTATACAAATATATAATAAGGACAATTTGATCAAATATACATTCTAATAATCTTTTATTCCTTTAACCAAACACGGTAATCTTATATTCCTTTAACCAAACACGGTAATCTTATATTCCTACTAAACCAACTAAACACAAAATACAATATTCCCAGTAATCCTATTTCCTGATAATCTTTTATTCCCACTGGTAATCTTACATTCCGTGAACCAAACGCACCCTTACTGATTCAAAAGCCAACATAATATTTTGCCTTTATTTGGTTTGATGTATATGAAAAGAGTGTGTTAGAGCTATCAACTACTAATTGAATAAAAACTTATTCTTTTAAGTACTGTTTAAATTTCCAAATATAACTTTCTAGACAAAATAAATTAATATATAATTTAGTAAATTAAAAAATTAAATTAAACTTACGTGATTATAAAAAAATGTTAATAATATGTGTGTGTAGAGAGTGGTTTGCTGATTTAATCAATAGTTAATTACATGTTTCATCATTTGTATTTGTGTTTGTGTTTTGTCTACTTTTCTTTACTGATTTCGAAAAAAAAATTATATGTGGTCACTTTCGTTTTTATTTAATTAAGATATTGTCGCTTTCGTTTCTATTTATTTAAGATGTGGTCACTATGGGTTAACATTCGTTAACAGTTAACAGATTAAGTGACATGATAATTAAATATTTTGGTATAATCACACATTTGGTTCGTGTTATTTACATATTTTCTCAATTTAATTCTATTTTTAATGAATTAAAATAAATTTGATCCTCCAATCGAATGATGTGACGTTTCACTAGTTCTACATGTCACCACTCGATTAGAGGACTAACTTTATATTAATTTATTTTAATTTAATATATTTATTTTCTACTAATTAAAAGGTGACGAAATAAAATAAAGCAAAACAATTTGGACCTACAAGAATTCAAATCTAGGTCTCTTGAAAAACCAAGCATGTACCCCAACCACGGGTAATACATGATCTAAAATAGATAACATGATGTATATTTTATGTCTTAGTATATAAATATTTAACTTAACTTTATAATATTTATATATATTAATTTCAATAACTATTTTTATATTAACTTATTAATATATTTATTATTAACAAATTTAAAGTATTTTATTTTTATTATTATTTAAAAAAATATTTTATTTTTACTAAAATTTTAAGAATATATTTTATTATTATTTTTACTTTTCAAAGTATACATTTTATCTTTATTTACTAAATATTTTATATTATTACTTTAAATTTTAAATATATTTTATTTTTATTTTAACTTCAAAATATTTTAACGTAGAATATATATGTTTAGATTAAAATAAAAAATATTTTAAAATTAAAATAATAATAAAATATATTTAATAAGTTAATATAAAAATATTTTTTTAAAGTTAATACATATCAAATATTATGCATTTAAGTTAAATATTTATACATTGAGATACAAAATATATATATCATATTGTCTATTTTAGTCCAAGTATTTATTTTGGCTCAATGGTGGGTACATGTTTGGTTTCCAAGTGACCTAGGCTTGAATATCTTTGGCCCCCAATTTGTGTTATGGTTTGATTTCTTTCAATCAAAGGGTGACATGTGACACCAATAATATGTGACATTATTCAATTTGATAATTAAATTTATTTTAATTTATTAAAGAGTAAACTACATAAATGATTACTTTCATTTGAGTTTTATAATTTTTCCTCATTGAATTAAGAAACATAACATTTTGTCACTTTCGTTTCATTTTGATTAAGATTTGAACACTTTCGTTTCGCTTTAATTAAGATGTGGTAACTGAAGGTTAACGGTTTGTTAATGTGGCGCTATAAATATATAAAATTAAAATTACATAATTTCCACGTAGATAACACATGGATTAAGTTTTGGTCACTTTCCTTTTATATGTGTACACTTTTTGTCGCTTACATTATTGTTTATTAAGTTTTAGTCTCTTACGTTATTTTTTTATTAAGTTTTGATCACTTGGACATTGAATTTCATTAGTTTGATGACGTGACTCATTTGTAAAATGGTTTGATTTTTATTTTAACTCCCACATTTTAGATAAAATACTAACTATGAGTCTTTTGTAAATTCAAATTAGTTTAGGGACAATATTTCAATTTATCCACTTTTAATAGGTTTTCTTCCCAACCCCATTATTGTTCATCTTCTCCCTGCTTATTCTTCCGACAATTATGCTTCATTGCTCCATTTGCCTTCTTTCAAGGACTCATGTTACATTTTAAGAATACTGAAAGATTTCCAACTTCCAATAACAAATAATAACACCACAAGTTCAGAGAAAAATGAGAGGATGGGCATCTAGAGATCAAATGAACTTCGTGATATAAACTAAAATTCAATTTTTAAATATTAAGCTTGCATAATGTCAAATCCAACAAGGAACAAGAAGATAAATCAATTGATCCAAATAACCCGATAATCAGATATTACTCTTCCTTGTAATTTTCCCTTGAGAAAGCGCCCCTAGTGAAACATAATAAATGGATCCAAACAACATGATAATTGGATCTATGAATTCATCAATCGAACTCAATCCAAAATCCATGGTCGTCAACGTTAAAATTTCCCCCCTCAAGAACAAGCAATTTTCCGATTCTAGATTCCCATGAATAACTGTTAACCCCTACTACCTACGTGATCTGTCGCACCACCGCCATTGCATCGAACTCTGAGTACCTCATTTCCAAGTGACCAAAAGTAAAAAAAAACGCCAACGTAAGTGACCAAATATGAAAGGAAAGTGACTAAACTTAATCCACGTATTATCTACATGGAAATGATGTAATTTTAATTTTATATATTTACCGTATCATGTCAGTAAAACATTAAAGGTTTAACGTGCATCAACCTTAGTGACCACATCTTAATTAAAACACAATGAAAGTGACAAAACCTTTTTTGTCTTTTAATTTAATAATGAAAAAAATTATAAAACTCAAACGAAAATAATCATTTTTGTATTTTACCCTTTATTAGAAGTAGAACTAAATTAAGAGAATGTATAAATAATAGGGACCAAATGTGTGATTATACAAAAATATTTAATTGTCACGTCACCTAATATGTTAACTGTTAACAACAATTAACTCGTGGTGACCATATCTTAATTAATTAAAAATGAAAATGATCATATATTATGTTTGTTTAAATCAATGAGAAAACATAGCAAAATACAAACATAAGTGTTTACTCTTGTATTTAACCCTTTAATAAATTTTAAGCTCAAATGAAATCAAATTATTAAAAGTGGAAAGAAAAAGTGAGGCAGAGACGGGGGAAATAGTACGAGGGAATGCATACGGCTCACAATAGCGGGAATCATGGGATCATTTCCCCCACATGACGAATCCCGAAACAAATAACACTGAAAAACAAAGGGATGAAGTCTTTTTCGATTAACTCAAAACCCCCAAAAAAAAAACTAAATTAAAATAACTAACAAATATTTTTAAAACACTCTTCTTTTCCATGATCTAAATAAATCATTTAAAAGGAGAAAAGCAAATGCGTTGTAGCTGGCAATACTGTGTTTTTCCTCGATGCTTATCTCATTGACGGGTCAAAAGGAGACAGATTGCTTCCCATAAATGAAAATAATAATAATAATAATAATTCATGAACACTGTGTTCGAAAAGTTATCAATCATTAATTATTTATATTTATATAATTATCATAATTAATAAATTGAAATGATTATATTTTACTAATTATTTTTTTCTACGTTTGTGATGTGGTTCAAAACATTCATTTAATTGATAAAATGTTTGAAAAGCCCAGTCAGTAGGGATGGTAAATTGGCGAGAAGGGTGAGGATATCATTTCTTTCATTTTTATATCTATTTAATATTTCGTATTAATTATCTACTCATTATTTATGATAAGTAAAATTTTCAATTTCACACCTGTCCACACGAGTATATTCTCAAATTCATCTTACACCCATTACCCAATTAGATATTTACCACCCATCTTGTACCTATCTATATTCTCTTATATTCGTCCACATCCGCCTGACAACATCACAAATTACATAGCAACAAAATATAAAACAAACACATTTATTAAGAAACATAATAAAATAAACAAAAAATTAATAAAATGTGTCATAACATTTAGTTAAATTACAAGTCATGTCCTATAAAATATTAAGATTTATAGAATATTTTTATGAAATTATATCTAAATTCATAATAATCTAAAAATTTATATGTTAAATAATTAGTGAACGGACGGATGCAGGACATATATGAAGCAAACAAATACAGAACAAGTAAGATCTTAAACTCATAACCTATCAATTATTCATAACGAATATGATTTTTTACATCTAAACTCGTTTTTACCTACTAAACTTATATATATCCAACTCTAATTAAAATAGATATCGAATGAAATTCACGCAATCGTGTCCGTCTATCATCCATACCAGCGATGGGGGCCCCGCCTTGGAAGGTCTTAGTCTGAGGTTGAAATTTGGTATCAAAATTTCATTTTAGTCATCGGAAACAAACAGAAACAACTGTCGTTTTTGTCCTGTAGTGATGGGGAGTTTATTTGACGCGGTTTCCCATGTTTGCACCCTTCTTCTGCCACGTGCCCGGACATATCTCTTTTAAGTTTCGAGGTCTTGTGGTCGGATCCCATTTTACTTTATTTTTGTATAATTTACTTACTTTAATTACTAAATGTATATTAATTTTATTTCAATATTAGAAATTAGAAATTTAAAATTTGAGTTTTTTTGATAAATTTTAAATTTATTCTTAATTTTATTTAGAGGGAAAGGAAGATTATAGGAACAGGAAGGAGAGTATTATGCTCTTAGTGAATTTAAGATCCGTTATTTAAGAAAATATGAATAAATAAAAATGAATAACTTGAATAATTAGTCAAATGTACTGACTTTATATGTGAGAAATTTTAATTGATAATTTCTATAAACTTATTTATTATCCAAAGTAAACTGCTAAATGGCTAAAAAATAAAAAATTACTAAATAATGTTTAAACTAGGGATGGCAATGGGCCGGGTTCGGGCCGGGTATTGGTCCCCCGTCCCCGTCCCCGTTTAAAAAATCGGTACCCGTTCCCGTTTAAAAAACCACGGGGATTTAAACGGGGATTACCGGGTAATCGGGGAAAACCGCGGGGAAACGGGTATCCCCGTTTAGCATAAACGGTTATTTAAACGGGTATTGGGCCGGGTATTGGGTCGGGTATTGGGCCGAGAATCGGGCCGGGTATATATATATATATTTAAATTAAATATATAAATATATTTTTTATTTAAATTAAATTTATTAATATTATATATATATATATATATATATATATATATATATATAAATAATTATTTTTAATATTTATCGGGTCGGGTATCGGGGCGGGTAATCGGGTAATCGGGACGGGGATTACCAAACCCGTCCCCGTCCCCGTCCCCGTCCCCGTTTAAAATAAATGAGTTTTTCCCGTCCCCGTCCCCGTTTATCATCCCCGAACCCGACCTATTTAATTCGATTTTCGATTTTTCCCGTCGGATTCGAATTTTTTTACCATCCCTATTTCTCCAAGCTATACTAATTCTATTAATTTAAATCTAAATCATACCAAAGCAAATATTTTAAAAATTCGCTTTAGATGAAAATGCACGTGATACAATTACGTAAATGTACTCACCGACCGTACAGAAAATCCTTTATACCCATACGGCCCATTCTCACCCCTTCAAATTTTCTATAATGCCCAAACTTCCTGCTTTATCGATGGAAGCAACTCGCACGTGTTTCCTTGGGTTTGAAGCGAGGCTGATGCACGTGATATAAGTATCCAAATAAAAGAATGAATTATCTAAGATAATTTAGTTAATTACCGTTCATGAACACTGCGGCGAGAAGTTTGTTTATGTTCGTTTATTTATTAAATGAACGAACATGAATAAGATTTTACGTTCGTTTAATTAAATGAACGAACATGAACAAATGGCTCGTTCGTTCATTTACGTTCGTGAACGTTCGATTATATGTTCGTTCATTTATGTTCAAACAGAGGGCAAGTTGAATATATTACGAAGATTATTGAAGTTGTTTGGATTTTAAGAAGATTGTTTTGTTGAACGAATTAACTTTAAGACTTTATTATGTTCATATAGCGCATTTATGATTTATGTATTTTTTTATCGTATTCGAACAAATTAACTCTAAAGTTGTAGGTTATATTAATGAATTTTAAGTTGTTATTCTTGTTGTTTACTTTTTTTTACATTCGTTTGTTGTGTTCGAATAAGTTTTTTTGTGTTTGTGTTGTTCGTTTATTGTGTTTGTTTATGTTCGTTTATTATTTAAATGAACGAATATGAACAAGCTATATTTCTTAATGAACGAACATGAACAAAAAAATTTTGTTCGTTTATGTTCGTGTCCGTTTATGTTCGTTCATTTATTAAATGAACTAACATGAACATACCTTCGTTCGTATACGTTTGATTCGTTTACTGACCTATAAATTACCGGTCGAGAATATTAAATCAAAAAACAAAGGAGAAGAGATTATTAAAGTATTAAACGAAAAAAATAATTCCAACAAAACATAGATTATTATGTAAAAAAAATCTAACATTATTCTCTACCACCAAACGGCAAACAGGTAACATAAAATGGATACGGATGCCCTTAATCACATTTTTAATCATTCAGCCCATTAATTTAATCAACCCCTTAATCCCTCCTTTAATTGCATCATTAACTTTAAGAAAGTCGGTTAATTCTTCTTATTTTTTAAGTTTCAAAAGGAAGGTCGCTGGAAGACGTTGAAACGTGGTTAGGTAAACAAGTCACGGGGGTTTTCTTTCCTTCGCAGCTTCCGTACAGGTAAACGCAAAAGCAAAGAGGACGGATAGAAAGCGATGGATGACCGGCACGTGGCAGTAAAAAAAGACAGAGGCCGTTAAAGGTGGTGGCAGGTTTACAGGCTGGAATTAAAATAAAAAAAGGAAAAGAAAATAAAAGAAACAAAGAGCGGTAATGATTCGCCCCCAGATTCGGCGAACAATCTTGTCGTTTTGGGCCAATTTTTATTTTCTTTCAGCTGAAAAAACTAATTTTTAAGAAAAGTAGAAGAAAATTCATCACGAAAATGCTCTACAGGCTGGCGTCCTCAGTCAAAGTCAGACTCGAACCTTACCCAACCGATATCATCTTTATCTCTTATTATATTATATTATTTTCTTTTTTATTTTCGTGAAAATTATTGTATGAAGAGTTCGGTTCTGTCTGTATATATATCTTTGGTAATCTTCCCCCCCTTTTTTTTTGTCTTAACTGGATGTTTTATGTAGGTTAAATTATTCTATTGGATGATATATTATCTAAAAATTTATAATATTTGCTTTTTCTATTTTAATTTAATAAGAGATTAAAATTATAATAAATTAGTAAATTAAAATTTTAGTATTAGATCCAATGTGAGACAGACGCTCCAATGATAGAGAGTCACAAAAAAGCTCTAATGGATAAAAATAAATATTAAGAGAAAGTGACGTTAAAATCAGTGCAGTTTAGACGTGACACGTGTCCGTTCGCCAGCTGTATCCCAAGCCCCTTTGCCCAACCGCTTAACTTGTACAGTCGGTGCCCATAACGCTTCTCCTCACTTCACCGTTTCAACCGATTCCTGTCCTCTTCTCTCTTATATAACCCCCCCTTCACTAACTCGTTTTCCTTTTAAACTTCAGGCCGAAACTAGAAGAAAGAAAGTAGAGAAGAAAGAAAAAAACCCCACCGAAAATTTAGATAATATATATATCCGGAGAACCAATTTTCCTTTGCATGCTTTTGTATTTGATATCAAGGCTGTAAGAAGCAAATCAAAAAGAAAAGAAATGGATCGTATCAAAGGTCCATGGAGCCCCGAAGAGGATGACTTGCTTCAAAAGCTGGTCCAAAAGCATGGAGCCAGAAACTGGTCGTTGATCAGCAAATCAATTCCGGGTCGATCCGGTAAATCCTGCAGGCTCCGCTGGTGCAATCAGCTGTCACCACAAGTTGAGCACAGGGCGTTCACCCCCGAGGAAGACGAGACAATCGTCAGGGCTCATGCCCGATTCGGCAACAAGTGGGCCACCATAGCCCGACTCCTCAACGGTCGTACGGACAACGCTATTAAGAATCACTGGAACTCGACGCTCAAACGTAAGTGCTCGTCGGTCGGGGAAGAGAGTTTTTTCAATGCTTTGAACGGAGGGTATGATGGTAATCTGGGAGAAGATGAGGAGGAGCGGCAACCGTTGAAGAGATCGGTGAGTGCCGGGCTTTACATGAGCACCGGGAGCCAATCGGGATCCGATTTGAGCGATTCGAGCGTACCCGTTTTGTCACCTTCACACGTGTACAAGCCCATCCCGAGGACCGGTGGAGTCAACGTTGACGTCAACGTTATGCCATCTCCCGGAGCAGAAGCGGTGTCGTCTTCTAACGATCCACAGACTTCACTGAGTCTGTCTTTACCCGGGGCTGAGTCGTGTGAGGTGTCGGTGTCAACCCTCCCAGTCACCGAGTCAACTCAGACGAGGAACGAAGCAAAAAATGAAGGCAAGGGAGGAGGAGGGGTGATGGGGTCCGGTGCGGAGTTTATGGCGGTGATGCAAGAAATGATAAGAGTGGAGGTGAGGAACTACATGGTTCAGACGCAACAGCAAAACGACGGCGTTTCGGGAGAAGAGGGAATGAGGACGTGTTTGGATATAGGGTTTAGGAATGGTTTGCCCATGAGCCGCGTTGGGGTTAATAGGATCGACTGAACTTGAGATGTAAAAGAAAAAAACCGGGCTTTTGTTGTTCTCTCTTAATAATTTTGTTCAATGTACAGAGAATGCGAAAAATATGGGTTTAAAGAAAGATTTCAGACTCGTTTAAAAATTAAAACTTTACATGCCAAAAGCCCCTAAAAAGAATTCCAATATTTCAAGCTTTCTTAACTTGATCTATTACCTAAATAATAAATTATCTTTTGCAAATACGCAAGGAATTTCACAATTTGGTAAATAAAGGAGGTTATATATGGGTTCATGTTTTCTTGCTTTCTTATTTCAGATCAGGGAACCGAAAAGTAACAATTGGATGAAAGATAATCAAGGCGTCAACACATCAAGAATCGAATTTCTTCGTATGCCTACAGCAACAACGGTTAACAAACAGTTGGAGGAAGAATGGAGAAAAAGGCTTCGGCAGGTTCTCAGATGATTTTAAAATGTATTTGGTTAAATGTCGCCTATGAAATGGGGATAGTGTAAAACGAAAGAATGGCAAATTCCATTTGTTACAACAATTGGATGCTTTCCTTATCAAAGGACGGCAGGCATACCACCCGATCATCGAATACGGAAACGGGTTTCATAACTGTTTCTAGAATTAAAATTATGAATGACGAAAATGGTTGTGGTAGCGAAGGTGGAATAGCTAGCTGTTTCTCGAACTAAAACAGATGAGGGGAGAGTGGATACTTGAGAAAATTCATTAACTTCTGTTGCAAGCGGGGTTAAGGTTTCTTCTTCGATGTTCACATATGCCAATAGCTCAGGGAACTTAGCTGCAAAGAACAGAATGCATTAGTCTAGGGTTCTAGAGATACCTATAATGCTTTACAAATACCTGACAACAAAGCTAAAGGAAATGCATGAAATGGCACACTAGGCATACTCCTAACAAATCTGGAGAGGGTGTTGTTCTTAAAAAAATAATTAATGGGGTTTTTTTATATAATAACGTCGAGGGAAAAAAGACTGATAACTGATTTTTTTACTTTGTAGCATTTACAGTTTTTCTTCTTCAACCAATTCTTTTTAGGAATAAATTACCTATGCGATAATAAAACATTTAGAACGCTTTCATTTTGATCGCTCAAAAAGTCCCCAAAATCTAGCCATCTAATCGTACGAACCAAACGACCTCGGTGGTAAAAGATTGTAGTTACTCCTAGATGTTTAAAATTCCAGCATAAAGTTTGTGAGGTGTTTAAATATTTATTATCAAATGATTAAGACATTTTCGAATAAATTTTACGTTATAATCACCTCAATTAAATAAAAGAAATAATTGTATTAATGATTGAGCAGTCACGTCTGTATATACAATTGATCATCCAACTTTTAGAATGTTTTCATTTTAATCACCAATTATTGTTGATATTTAGTCATCCAATCTTCAAATATAATTTTTGAAAGATTTATAACATAAAATTTTATATTTATATGAATGTAATAACAGTTATATTTTATACATTAAACCACAAAATCAATAATAATGAACTCTAAAAAAATGAACTTATAGTATAGAAACGATCTTCTCCTTGTCATATTTTATATAGGTGTATTTTATGTATATATTTTGACATGTATTCATATGTCCACATGTGTTCCTTAGATTTTTTGCTGGTCTGAGTCGTCGACGCCACCAAAATCCTTGCAAGTCAAACTGCCTTTTTTTCCCCTTTCCTTTTCAACATGTATTGTTAATAATAAACATTCACATTAACTAATTAATGAATGGTTTATCTAATCTCTGAAATTAAGAGTTGTGGATACAGAATATATAAATTAATATATTATATATTTGAAACCCAAATACTGAATTTATAAAACAATTGCAACGACAGTATAAAATAAGAATTGACATTTTAAATTATTAAACCATAAAATCAACAATAATGAACCAAAGAAATGAAATCAATATATAGTAGTTCAAAACCAATCTTTTCGTTATCTTAAAAAATTGTCGTCAGAAATAGTTGGAACTTTGCTATCACCAATGCTCGGATCTGACCAGAGTCCTTGAAGAGTCTCGGTTATATATTTATTTGTTTCCCACACCAGGGCTGGGACCGGAGTTGGTAAACTTATTTCCTACACTAGGGTTCGGGTCGACATTGTTAATGTTTTCAAGAGTTTGGCCGTCGGTTAACTTGTTTCCAACACCAGGACTCGGACCGGAGTCAGTAAACTTGTTCCCTACACCGGGGCTCGGCCCTCCATTCTTAATGCCTCCAATAATCTGACGACTATCGATTAACTTATTTTCGAAACCAGGACTTGAAACGAAGTTTTTAATTCCACCTAGAGTGAAGCTATTAGTAAACTTATTTCCCACGCCAGGACTCGGACCGGAGTCGGTAAACTTGTTCCCTACACCTGGGCTCGGCCCCCCATTCTTTATGCCTCCAATGACCTGACTATCAGTTAACTTATTTCCATCACCAGAACTTGAACTGGAGGTTTTAATGCCACCTAGAGTGAAGCTATCAGTAAATTTATTTCCCACACCAGGACTCGGACCGGACTCGGTAAACTTGTTCCCTACGCCGGGACTTGGACCTGACTCTTTGATTGCACCAAGGTACAAGCCAATATCAAAGATATTGAAAGGGTCACGAGCTTCGGCAACAAGGGCAATGGAGCTTAACAGTAAAACAATGGAAACAGAGCTTAAAATAGATTGATTAACTGCAGCATCCATGCTATTGGAAGAAGTAAGATTTAAGAAGTTGATGAAGAGAAGGGAGTATGTTAATCTTTAGAGCAAAATCAAAGCACGTTAACTGGAGTAGTTTTTGGTATATGAACAAAGGGAATCTTTATTTATAACGATCAATGAGGAAATCTGTGGTAGGTTATTTTTGACTAAATAATGATAGTGAAGAACGAGATTGCTTTTCTAAGTTGGAAAGTTGAATTTCATGGAAAATAAGAGGCAGAGGGGAGCTAAAATTGAAGTGTTGTTGATTCTTAGATTTTTTTTCTTCTGGCCGCCTGACTGACGGCCTGAGTCGCCGCGAAATTATGTTATTTTCCTCCGGCTGCGTCTATTGTGGGGGACCGGAGGCGAAGAAGAACATGCAAAGGATCTTTGAATTCCCATGGCCATTGGGAATTAATTACAAGCTCGACGAGGTTACGTGGAAAGTAAAGGTTTGACTGAAGGCTGATTAATTAGTCAAATCTAAATGCAAATGTTTTTTCTCTTCTGGAAAAGTAAAATAAAAAAATAACTTCAACAAATTAAATATGGCACAAATTAAATATTGTCGGTGCCATTGATACATGTTCCACGTGAGTGAAATCAAATAATAGATATTATGGCGAAATTAGTTTAGAATCATTCTACATAAATCTGGCCTTCTTTTGAGATGCTTCTTACTAGGGAAATGTTCGATCGAACCAGATCGAGTCAAAAAAATTTGAGTCATATTTTACAACTCTAACTTAATTTGAAAATTTTTAAGTCGAGTCGAGTTTAATAAATTTGAGTCGAATTATTCGAGTATCTATGTTAATTTTATTATAATTATTTATAGTGTAATTGTAAGGATTAGTTCTAACTTTTTTGACTTTCTCTAACCATATAAGATATATTTCATATTTTTCACATTATAATGTTATTTAATATATCAAATGCAATATAAACTTATAAAATATATTTACAATATTATATTTTAAAGAAAGTATTTTGATGATAAAATATTTATGAGAGTATAAAGGAGTCAAAGAATTGATGGAAATAAAGAATTTACAAACAACTGCAGTCAAACGATCAAACTAAGTAAAATGTAAAGTTAAGAGACTAAATAAAAAAGTACATTTTTAGTAAAAAAATAAGAATTAAGTTACATAAGTATTATATAGTGGTATATGAGGATGTGGTATTCTATAGTTTTTAACGATGGAATACTAAAAAGAATAAAAAAATTAAACGTTAGACATGATTTTAAAAAATTGAAAATTTAAATACTAAAACGGGTCAAAGTTGATAGTTCAAGTATTAAATGCGTAGTTTACCGGATAATCAAATATACGGATAACAATGGGCCAGTCTAGTTATAAAGCAGCCCAAATTCATTGAAACAAAGTCCTTAAACTAAAACGATTTTATGGAATATTATTGAGCCCAAGGGAAAACATCGAACTTTTATAGAATTTTCATGTCCCGTCATTTATATTATGTCTATTAACTTAATAGAATATTTTATATACAAAATTGATATAACGTGAAATGACATTATTCTAAATCTATCAACTGATATATCAACTAAAGAGTATTATTTTATTCGCATCTTATGAGTTTTGATCCGATTGAATTGAGTTGAGTCGGATACAAGTTTTAACTTAAAATATTAAGTTAAATTTTATATTAGATGAGAATCTTATAAATTCGAGTCAAATCATACACAAATAAAAGTTTATATTTTTTAAATATAATTTGAGTGAGTCAAATACGACTCGGTCCATTCTCATCCCTACCATCAACTAATCAGGAGTAACTTTGGGAATGAGTAAAATATCAAGAGTCAATAATAATCACTCTACATCTATTATAGATTAGGGTAAACTATGCCTCTACTGCCTAAAATATCAGTTTTGTTCGTTTGAGTATCTAAATTTTAATTTTTTTTAAAATTATACATAATGTTTCATTTTTATTTCATTTTAGTATCCGCTGTTAAAAACTTAACACGTTTAGTATCTAAACTATTAGTTTTGGTCTGTTTTAGTGTCTAAACTTTCAATTTTTCAAAATTTAATGTTAAATTTTGAATGATTTACTAAAATGAAACAAAAGTTAAAGATTTTTTACGGCAGAGTAAGTACAAGACAATATATGCTCAAAAATATTTTTTAACTATTTGACATTAAACGCTCACAATCACACTCTTGATATTCCTGATGCTCGAACCCGAGGCATTAAGAAATAACAACAATTATTTTAACACGGAGTTCAATCGATAATCCATATGGGTTAAATAGATTGAAAACGACGTAATGCTCACCAATCCATCAATTATCAGACGTGAATAAAAAAGACAAAGACACCGAAATCCCCAAGACAAGTGCCAGAGCTGTTGTCGAGAAAAAGAATGGAAAAGTTAAAACTTTATGATTTCAAAAAGA